CGTATAAGAATTCTAAATCCGGCCGTCCTGATTCTGAATCGGGGCAGCCGGATTCCGAATCGGGCGGATTCCAAATCAGGGTACAACATATATATATATTTATTTCTTTTATTTTATTTTATTTTATTTTTTTATAGTAAGATAATAATTGCTCATAAATCTTTTAGCGGAAGTAGGGCTGTTGAAGCATCATCTTATCGCAAACTGATCACAAATCAAAGCGGAAATGCCGACAGGTCGGATGGAATCGCATATACTTCTAACACAAAGCCCTATGAAATATGTGATCGAAGGCAGTAAGCCATACCATACCGAATCCGGAAAGGAATCGGAAGATTTTGTTCAGAAAGGTAAAGACATGATCAATTTCATTGTAACGCACGAAGTAAAGCAAAAAAGGTCTTTACCAACCTCACTTAAGGTCTTCATGGTTCAAAGTTTTGAATTAAGTATGAGGTTTTATTTTATGGATTACCTAAGTATGTACGCCTGTATATTATCAATTCCGGCACATTCGACCTGGATTCCGATGCATTCCGACCCGGAACTTCGGGGAACCCCTTGTAAGAGTTTGCTAGTATACGTTTATGTTCTAATGATATTTTGGATTTCTAGATTACTATAGGATATTTGAGATTGATGTTTGTGAAATACCAATAGATTTCACAGGAATGTATTTATTCCCTTTTCTTTTTCGCGCCATAATCATATGGGCAGTAAGTATTTCTGTTATATCTAATATTTTTGCCATTATATCGGTTTTGGAAGGCTCAACGGTATAAATTTAAGGATTGTTTTCTAATACCATTTTTAATTTTATTTTATTTTAGATATTGGTTGGGAATACCGACAAGGAATTTCAATGTTTTCGGAACTCTAAAAGAAGTTCCAGAACCAGCAATGCGCACAATTTAAGGGTTCTCACGCAACTAGCACATAATAAAGAACGACCAGGTGACAAGAAAAGCATGAAAATGAAAAATGTTGTTTGAATGATGGTAAATCCTCTGGGTAAGCTATTTTATATTTATTCTAACATGCAAAAAATCAATTTTTATACTGCCACAAAATATATTAACATTATACGTATCGTTTATACTTCTAGGAACACATTCATATATAGTACTGCTATTCATAAGTGGAACACATTCATATATAGTACTGCTATTCATAAGTACTTGTTTATATCTACAGTTGTTTGATTAAAAGTAAAATGTTCAATGATCTGCGTTTATATACATACTGTATATGATAATTTGAATTCATAATAAAATTTATTTGAAGCACAGAAAATTTTTTAATCGCCTTCTTTTGAGTGAAATTTAACTTTAATATTTATGTCTTTTGGTCTTCGTAAAAAAAAAAATCGGAAAACTTTAAACTTATTTTTAATTCGAAGTTTTTATGAACTGAATTTAAAACTGCCCGATATACAGATATAGAAATAGTGCAATTTTTGCCTCAAATCATCACGGGATCGAAACTCAATTAAAGCCATATGTCTATTAAATAGCGCAATTAGATAACTTACTAGTGCTAGCTTTTGTTATTAAATAAGATATTTTTATTTTAGAGAGATTAAATGTAATTTAACGTTAAAAGGAGAGGTATCAGGTTTTATTTTATTAAAACTAATTTAGGCCCTTGTTGTTATCGTTATTGCTATAACCTTGGAAAATACAATAATCAACATAGAGGTCGAAAAGATGAACGATAACGATAAGGCATTAGTTTATTATCAAAAGTCTACAGATATAGGTAATTATAATGTTGAATATTGTTATTGAGATGGAATTGGAGTTGAAAAGTATGAATATATAACGATAACATTCATTTATTATCAAAAATCAGAGATGGTGGGCGCTAGATAAATATGTAATGTTGGATATTGTTATGAAAATGAAGTGAATCAGACTTGAAAAGAAAGAACTTAAGGCATTCTTTTGTCACCAAACTTCTGCTGAATAGGGCATATATTATTATCGGGATGAAATTTGAATTGAAAATGAACAGATACCGATATTTTCAAAAATCTGCTGTGATGGGCACATTGGTAGAACCTATATGGTTTGACATCGTGATTTCAGTAGAATTGGAAACAAAACGGTAAATATAAGCATCTTGATGGAATTGGTATCGAAAAAAGATGTAAAGAAAGCATTTGAATATTTTAAAAAGTTGTAGATTATGTTGAAGTGCCGAGAGATATACAACGTGTCAATCATTATTATTGAATAGAATATATAGTGTGAAAAAGATTAGCAAATTACAGTATCTTTGATTATAATTTTAAATGATAAAAAGTTTCAACTTCAAGTATATGGAGATTAGAATTTAATAGAGTCAAATTTTGTTTCAAAAATTTGTTGGGATTTTTGAATATTAGGATTTTTGAGATAAAACCTTACACTTTCAATATTTACTTGTATAAATATTATAATGTGGCGAAGTTTTTACATAAAACACGAATTATTCAGAAATATACGATAATATTTTTGAGAACTGTTAATGCCACCCTAACCCCTAACCGGTCCAAAATCTTGAAAATTCTACAAATAGTATTTAGAAACGGTGAATTAGGTTAGCAGTTAGGGTAAGCATTGTTCATAGAGCTTCCGGAAAGGCTAAAGGTTAATTAGAGTTATGTAGGGGGTGGCATTAGCAAGTCTCTATTTTTATCGCAATGCATTATAAAAATCGCCCGTGATTTCCTAAGTAAAACACAATTCCGACATGAGAAATCCTATTTATACTAATTGCCATTTGATCGAAATTGTTTTACTCTTATTCTTTTGGATTCGGGTTTAGTATCAGCTACTTTATCCACTAACAAACCAACAATTATGCTTAAAACCTTTTTCGTATTATTGCACAAATTTCCATATTCACCCGATTCCTTATTCCAAGCTTCTTTGCAATATTCAATAACAAGGGGTTACATTGCTTATCAAGATCTCTCCTGGATTATGAAGTAAAAAATACCATTCTCGGGCTACAATGAATGAAAACATGATTTTAATAGATTTTATCCTTTCTTCTTATTATAAGAGATAGAGTAAAATTGCATACCGGAAGTAACGATACCATAAAGATAATCAAAATCCTCATTTTCATCCCGTTTTCGCTTTTTTTTATTAACATCATGTGAGATTTCGAGCTGTCTGATATTCTGAGCAAAACCTTCTTGCATTGATTTATCTATCTTATCTAATGCATATGAGATTTCCGGATTTAGATTCCATTATGGCAAAGCCCCTAGCTGTCCCACAAAATTTTTTCCACCCCATGTAATAACGACCAATCGAATTTCAGGATCAGGTGTAACGTGAAAATCGAGACGAAGCAAAAAAACAAGAATAGCTTTAAATTTTAATTAGGAAACCGCCTTCTGTGGTCTAACGAAAAATGTTCCTTGTAAAATTTTACTTGTAGGCGTTACATTATCCTAGTCCTAACCTTAACTTTAACGCGGTTTTCTTAACTTTAATTTTGCGCGTAACTTTTTACTTAGAAAACAAAACACGTTTGTTTTGACTATCACGTTACACCTGATCCTGAAATTCGATTGGTCGTTATTACAAGGGGTGGAAAAAATTTTGTGGGACAGCTACCTAAAATCCATAATGGCATAATCAGTCGATCCATAATATTTTTTACCACTGACTTCATATTCAACAGCCATTTTAAAAATGTTATTTGAACTAGCTTCGGCGATTCGGAGAGCTGCGTGAAGGATTGTTGATACATACTCTCTTTTAATCTTTTCATTAGAATTTGGGGGTAGCTTTTAATTCTGATTAAAATATTATCAATACAGTTTTGAAAATACTCATCAGCATCTTGAATTTCGTGAGTTTGTGGTTCAAATAGAGGAATCTTTGAAATGTCATCAGAGTCAATGTTATAGTCTTTTAAGACATCTTTCAAAGATTTAATTGATGAATATTTCTGCCTTTTCCGTTCACTGCACGTCTTAGCAAAGTTGACAAGTCGTTTTGCAGATCCAAACTTCAAACCAATACCGCGAAGCTCTTCTTCAGTTATTGTTAAAAAAGTTTCACCGGTGAATTCCTCCTTTCTAATAATTTCAAAGTGTTTCTCATTAAACTGTAAGTTTTTCACAGTCTGCAAATACTCAATAAGTTGTTCCGTGCCATATTCCTGAATCTCGTCAATAGTTGGGTCCATGACTGCAGATTTGTGGAAAAGTTTTTAGGATGTTTATATATGTGACAGTCATATGGGGTCTTTGCCTTGAAAATCAAATATATGACATATATTTACTATGTCCCATAACTTGATTTTCAAGGCAAAGACCCATATGATCGTTTTCTGGATATAATCCAAAACATTTAAGGACTACGTAGTATAGTTCCCTTAACTTCTAGATAACCGATGTGGCTAATAAAAGTGATCATTATAAGAACGCCTGCGATTGGAAGTAGCTAAGGTAACGTTAGAGCTAGAAGAAGACTTTGAGATGATTTTTATTATAACAACATTATTCAACATACCACAACTCCAGCAATAAAGACTACGATGGAAATGTACCAAGTAATAAAAATGATAATTGGAGTACAAAAAAAGAAAAAGGCAGATATCATATACACATAATTGCGAAATTTTTTGGATTGGTGTTACTAGTCTTATAGAGCCATAATGTCGCATTTGACTTTTTATATACAATATTGTAAAATATAATGTAACATTTATTAAGAATTAATAATTTTGGGTTTTGGGGTTTTGTGTTTTTTAAAGCAGAGACTCATCGTGAATAATTTATTAATAAATATTTTCGTAGAGATGTATTATTGCTATATAGTTCTTCTATGTGTTTGAAAATATAAATCGCCTATTTATGTCGACATAGTAATATTGACATAATTTTTGCTCCAAATAATTTGATTTATTCTTTTGATTAGGCGGATTGTTTTTGCTAAATTATATAACAGAAATTTGGTTTGTGATTGTAGCATCCACTCTTACCAAAATGTCTCGAATTCGTTATTTTGTGTATATGATATCTGCCTTTTTCTTTTTTTGTACTCCAATTATCATTTTTATTACTTGGTACATTTCCATCGTAGTCTTTATTGCTGGAGTTGTGGTATGTTGAATAATGTTGTTATAATAAAAATCATCTCAAAGTCTTCTTCTAGCTCTAACGTTACCTTAGCTACTTCCAATCGCAGGCGTTCTTATAATGATCACTTTTATTAGCCACATCGGTTATCTAGAAGTTAAGGGAACTATACTACGTAGTCCTTAAATGTTTTGGATTATATCCAGAAAACGATCATATGGGTCTTTGCCTTGAAAATCAAGTTATGGGACATAGTAAATATATGTCATATATTTGATTTTCAAGGCAAAGACCCCATATGACTGTCACATATATAAACATCCTAAAAACTTTTCCACAAATCTGCAGTCATGGACCCAACTATTGACGAGATTCAGGAATATGGCACGGAACAACTTATTGAGTATTTGCAGACTGTGAAAAACTTACAGTTTAATGAGAAACACTTTGAAATTATTAGAAAGGAGGAATTCACCGGTGAAACTTTTTTAACAATAACTGAAGAAGAGCTTCGCGGTATTGGTTTGAAGTTTGGATCTGCAAAACGACTTGTCAACTTTGCTAAGACGTGCAGTGAACGGAAAAGGCAGAAATATTCATCAATTAAATCTTTGAAAGATGTCTTAAAAGACTATAACATTGACTCTGATGACATTTCAAAGATTCCTCTATTTGAACCACAAACTCACGAAATTCAAGATGCTGATGAGTATTTTCAAAACTGTATTGATAATATTTTAATCAGAATTAAAAGCTACCCCCAAATTCTAATGAAAAGATTAAAAGAGAGTATGTATCAACAATCCTTCACGCAGCTCTCCGAATCGCCGAAGCTAGTTCAAATAACATTTTTAAAATGGCTGTTGAATATGAAGTCAGTGGTAAAAAATATTATGGATCGACTGATTATGCCATTATGGATTTTAGGTAGCTGTCCCACAAAATTTTTTCCACCCCTTGTAATAACGACCAATCGAATTTCAGGATCAGGTGTAACGTGATAGTCAAAACAAACGTGTTTTGTTTTCTAAGTAAAAAGTTACGCGCAAAATTAAAGTTAAGAAAACCGCGTTAAAGTTAAGGTTAGGACTAGGATAATGTAACGCCTACAAGTAAAATTTTACAAGGAACATTTTTCGTTAGACCACAGAAGGCGGTTTCCTAATTAAAATTTAAAGCTATTCTTGTTTTTTTGCTTCGTCTCGATTTTCACGTTACACCTGATCCTGAAATTCGATTGGTCGTTATTACATGGGGTGGAAAAAATTTTGTGGGACAGCTAGGGGCTTTGCCATAATGGAATCTAAATCCGGAAATCTCATATGCATTAGATAAGATAGATAAATCAATGCAAGAAGGTTTTGCTCAGAATATCAGACAGCTCGAAATCTCACATGATGTTAATAAAAAAAAGCGAAAACGGGATGAAAATGAGGATTTTGATTATCTTTATGGTATCGTTACTTCCGGTATGCAATTTTACTCTATCTCTTATAATAAGAAGAAAGGATAAAATCTATTAAAATCATGTTTTCATTCATTGTAGCCCGAGAATGGTATTTTTTACTTCATAATCCAGGAGAGATCTTGATAAGCAATGTAACCCCTTGTTATTGAATATTGCAAAGAAGCTTGGAATAAGGAATCGGGTGAATATGGAAATTTGTGCAATAATACGAAAAAGGTTTTAAGCATAATTGTTGGTTTGTTAGTGGATAAAGTAGCTGATACTAAACCCGAATCCAAAAGAATAAGAGTAAAACAATTTCGATCAAATGGCAATTAGTATAAATAGGATTTCTCATGTCGGAATTGTGTTTTACTTAGGAAATCACGGGCGATTTTTATAATGCATTGCGATAAAAATAGAGACTTGCTAATGCCACCCCCTACATAACTCTAATTAACCTTTAGCCTTTCCGGAAGCTCTATGAACAATGCTTACCCTAACTGCTAACCTAATTCACCGTTTCTAAATACTATTTGTAGAATTTTCAAGATTTTGGACCGGTTAGGGGTTAGGGTGGCATTAACAGTTCTCAAAAATATTATCGTATATTTCTGAATAATTCGTGTTTTATGTAAAAACTTCGCCACATTATAATATTTATACAAGTAAATATTGAAAGTGTAAGGTTTTATCTCAAAAATCCTAATATTCAAAAATCCCAACAAATTTTTGAAACAAAATTTGACTCTATTAAATTCTAATCTCCATATACTTGAAGTTGAAACTTTTTATCATTTAAAATTATAATCAAAGATACTGTAATTTGCTAATCTTTTTCACACTATATATTCTATTCAATAATAATGATTGACACGTTGTATATCTCTCGGCACTTCAACATAATCTACAACTTTTTAAAATATTCAAATGCTTTCTTTACATCTTTTTTCGATACCAATTCCATCAAGATGCTTATATTTACCGTTTTGTTTCCAATTCTACTGAAATCACGATGTCAAACCATATAGGTTCTACCAATGTGCCCATCACAGCAGATTTTTGAAAATATCGGTATCTGTTCATTTTCAATTCAAATTTCATCCCGATAATAATATATGCCCTATTCAGCAGAAGTTTGGTGACAAAAGAATGCCTTAAGTTCTTTCTTTTCAAGTCTGATTCACTTCATTTTCATAACAATATCCAACATTACATATTTATCTAGCGCCCACCATCTCTGATTTTTGATAATAAATGAATGTTATCGTTATATATTCATACTTTTCAACTCCAATTCCATCTCAATAACAATATTCAACATTATAATTACCTATATCTGTAGACTTTTGATAATAAACTAATGCCTTATCGTTATCGTTCATCTTTTCGACCTCTATGTTGATTATTGTATTTTCCAAGGTTATAGCAATAACGATAACAACAAGGGCCTAAATTAGTTTTAATAAAATAAAACCTGATACCTCTCCTTTTAACGTTAAATTACATTTAATCTCTCTAAAATAAAAATATCTTATTTAATAACAAAAGCTAGCACTAGTAAGTTATCTAATTGCGCTATTTAATAGACATATGGCTTTAATTGAGTTTCGATCCCGTGATGATTTGAGGCAAAAATTGCACTATTTCTATATCTGTATATCGGGCAGTTTTAAATTCAGTTCATAAAAACTTCGAATTAAAAATAAGTTTAAAGTTTTCCGATTTTTTTTTTTACGAAGACCAAAAGACATAAATATTAAAGTTAAATTTCACTCAAAAGAAGGCGATTAAAAAATTTTCTGTGCTTCAAATAAATTTTATTATGAATTCAAATTATCATATACAGTATGTATATAAACGCAGATCATTGAACATTTTACTTTTAATCAAACAACTGTAGATATAAACAAGTACTTATGAATAGCAGTACTATATATGAATGTGTTCCACTTATGAATAGCAGTACTATATATGAATGTGTTCCTAGAAGTATAAACGATACGTATAATGTTAATATATTTTGTGGCAGTATAAAAATTGATTTTTTGCATGTTAGAATAAATATAAAATAGCTTACCCAGAGGATTTACCATCATTCAAACAACATTTTTCATTTTCATGCTTTTCTTGTCACCTGGTCGTTCTTTATTATGTGCTAGTTGCGTGAGAACCCTTAAATTGTGCGCATTGCTGGTTCTGGAACTTCTTTTAGAGTTCCGAAAACATTGAAATTCCTTGTCGGTATTCCCAACCAATATCTAAAATAAAATAAAATTAAAAATGGTATTAGAAAACAATCCTTAAATTTATACCGTTGAGCCTTCCAAAACCGATATAATGGCAAAAATATTAGATATAACAGAAATACTTACTGCCCATATGATTATGGCGCGAAAAAGAAAAGGGAATAAATACATTCCTGTGAAATCTATTGGTATTTCACAAACATCAATCTCAAATATCCTATAGTAATCTAGAAATCCAAAATATCATTAGAACATAAACGTATACTAGCAAACTCTTACAAGGGGTTCCCCGAAGTTCCGGGTCGGAATGCATCGGAATCCAGGTCGAATGTGCCGGAATTGATAATATACAGGCGTACATACTTAGGTAATCCATAAAATAAAACCTCATACTTAATTCAAAACTTTG